TTATCAAGCGTAATTGAACTTGGACCTATCAGTGGGTTAATTTTAGCTCCATGACAATCTCTCTACAGAAGTAATGTCCTTCACCTACTGTGGTTGGACTTGCTGTCCTTCGATCGCCATTCCATTTTCTGAAGCGGTTCTGCCATTTTCAATTTCAACTGCATACTGATAAAGTGGCATTTTTCTTTTACCTATTACGATATGTTGAACGATCAAAACAATTGAGAATAGTTGCAAGACTGAGCAGTTATATTCGTACTTATGTCATTAAATAATAACTAATAATACGAGTGTTATGAGTAAAATGATTTCACTTGATTTAGTTTCGAAGGGTATGTTAAATAATTCGAAAATACACACCTTGAGCGGATGTGTCCTGATCCACTTAGTGCTTTAGAGTTTCTTGTTGCCTGGCATCCTTGCTGAAACTTGATTTTAATGTACCACCACCAGCAATGATAAAAAACCCACCGCTGGTAAAAATTTATTATAAAAAAGATCACTGTTGACAGGATATCAAAAGTCTTTATAGATGTGCTTCAGAGAACATAAATCTCTATTTCTGTAATTACCTTGTTTAGAACAATTCTTCTGTTGTTCTCCTTTTAATACTGGCTCCCTTGATGCTTGTTGCTCTCCTCTTACTGCTAGTTTCCCTGGTGCCTGTTGTTCTCCTCCTTCTGCTTGTTTCCCTAGTGCCCGTTGCTCTCCTCTTTCTGCTGGTTTCTCTGGTGTCTGTTGCCCTCCTCCCTCTGCTGGTTTCCCTAGTGCCCGTTGCTCTCCTCTTTCTGCTGGTTTCTCTGGTGTCTGTTGCCCTCCTCCCTCTGCTGGTTTCCCTAGTGCCCGTTGCTCTCCTCTTTCTGCTGGTTTCTCTGGTGTCTGTTGCCCTCCTCCCTCTGCTGGTTTCCCTGGTGCCCGTTGCTCTCCTCTTTCTGCTGGTTTCTCTGGTGTCTGTTGCCCTCCTCCCTCTGCTGGTTTCCCTAGTGCCTGTTGCTCTCCTCCTTTTGCTAGTTTTCCTGGTGTCTGTTCCTCTCCTCCAACTGCTGGTTTCCCTGGTACCTGTTGTTCTCCTCCTTTTGCTGGTTTCCCTGATGTCTGTTGTTCTCCTCCTTCTGCTGGTTTCTCTGGTGTCTTTTGCCCTCCTCCCTCTGCTGGTTTCCCTAGTGCCTGTTGCTCTCCTCCTTTTGCTAGTTTCCCTGGTGCCTGTTGTTCTCCTCCTTCTGCTGGTTTCTCTGGTGTCTTTTGCCCTCCTCCCTCTGCTGGTTTCCCTAGTGCCTGTTGCTCTCCTCCTTTTGCTAGTTTCCCTGGTGCCTGTTGTTCTCCTCTTTCTGCTGGTTTCTCTGGTGTCTTTTGCCCTCTTCCCTCTGCTGGTTTCCCTAGTGCCTGTTGCTCTCCTCCTTTTGCTAGTTTTCCTGGTGTCTGTTGCTCTCCTCCAACTGCTGGTTTCCCTGGTACCTGTTGTTCTCCTCCTTTTGCTGGTTTCCCTGATGTCTGTTGCTCTCCTCCTTCTACTGGTTTCTCTGGTACCTGTTGCTCTCCTTCTCCTGCTGCTTTCCCTGGTGCCTGTTGCTCTCCTCCTACTGCTGGTTTCCCTGGTACCTGAAGAACTCCTCAGATGAGCCTCTGGTACCTGAAGAACTCCTCCTACTGTTGGTTCAGTTGGTGCCTGATGCTCTCATCCTTCTACTGGTTCCTCTGGTACCTGTTGTTCTCCACCTCCTCCATTTATTTCATCTGGTTTTTAGTACACAAAAGGAAAAAATTGCTATATCTGTGGCCATTTAGCATGGGATATATCAAAAGAGTTGGCCATTTAAGAAAAGTTATCAGGAAAATATGTGCCTTCCACAAGGAAAATGATGAATCACATTTTGGAAGTTAACATAGGTACAATAATTTTGGGTTTGATTAAATAAAAAATTATTTAAGGAACTGCACGCACATGAAAGACAGATCTTGCTATTAACTTTTCTGTATCCTTACATACATTTTCCGGTTAACTCGGTCGACACTGTTGTCAAACCAAAGCTGCAATTAAATGTGGATGATGTAGTACTCTCTGAAGTAAGTGATATGCTGGATCCTTGAATCCCTGTTGGGTTTGTAGCAGGTTTGTAATTAACTAAGAAATTAGCCTGTCCGCTGAAATTTCAAGAGAGGCGTCTCAAAGATAGAGAGCGGCAACTGTGAGTGCATAACCTCAGAGGTGCTGGTTATGATATACCAGGCTTTTCTCTGCCAAAAATCCAGCCGAAAATTGCTGCTTTTTCATTTATGTTACTGAGTACCGAGTTGGATAATCAACTTTAGGAGAAACCTGACGAAAAAGGCCTTGTTTATGTTTATTCCAAACTCAGCAACCGCCCAGCTCGCTTCACAGGAGCAGACGTGAATTTCAATCGGAAAGTATTCCCAGACATTAAAATTAAAAGAATAGACACATGAAAACAACAATTTAGTGACAAAGAATAATGAATATTGCAGCACAAGCAAGGCCATGCGGGAGAATTTTCAGTAAATGATGTGATCATACGTTAGAGCTATTCTGAGAGAGTTACCGCAATAGACTAGATTCAATAACAGCAGTATAATGTATTCCTGGGCCAAATTTAACTGGGACGCTTCTCCAGAGAAATTTGTATGATGTTCCTCTGGCCCTCTGCCCCTTCCAATGCTATCATTTGCCAATCATGTGTCTGTGCCATCTTGCAAACCACTGAGAAGGGCAGGGAAGGCAGAGATGTCCCAACAAATGTGTCTGAGAGTGTAGGCCAGCTCCTTTATGAAAATTAATTTAGATTTCCGAAGATAATGAGCCAAATAAATAAATTGCACATATTGCTGGTTACGTTCAAGACCTTTAAGATGACTTGAAAGTATACGTACGCTGAACTAACCAAAAGTTACCAACCTGAAAATGGTTGTGTTCTATCAATCTGTGAAAACAGAACAAAAGAAATCTGCTCGTTTTTGCCAAGAGTAATGGCACCCACAGCAACTGCTTGGCCTTTGACTGAAAAAGATGTTAAGTTTGTTTGGGTCAACAGGCATAATTGCGAGGCCTGATTTGAGGATCACTTCGTCAGACACCACGTCAAGTAGTTCCTAGTCTTTTCTTTTGTCTCCTGATTTCATGAAATACAAGGAGTAGCCACTCAAATCGGCAGATGAAATGATTAACCTTGTCGCTTGTGACCAGATGAATGTTTTTATTGCAGCTGGGAAAAAGGTCCCTTATGAGGCTCCCGGTACCAACGAACTTGCCGCTCTGCCGAGGAACGTGTTTCCATGTCCCACATGTAGGTAAGATGCACTTATTTTCCTTTCTTTCGTTTTCTTGTCTCGTAGCATGTACAATCGGCCGAGGGGAGGGGGCTTTACTCGCATATGATATTTCTTTCTCGTCAGACCCTCATCCTCCTATCTTCAAAAATCAAGGACGGAAATGACCGAGGATAAGCAGAACTCAACACACCGCCAATTTACGTTTCCTAGAATGATCGCAATCAACTTAAAAAACTCCGTAAAATACGTCATTTTTACAATACATAGAGTTATTTCAGAAGATTTAGATTTAAATTTAAAATGTTGTTGGGGAAGAAAAAAGTTAATAGAGATAGACAACCCGTCACATATAACAAAGTGAGTTGCCATGCGAGTTGATGAGTTCCGCATCACTAACCATATGAAGGCCATAATAAGCAATGTCTAAACAGCGAAAAATGTTTGGAAGATCAATAATTGATAGCCGGCATTAAAGGACAGGAATTTTCTCTGAAATAGATTTATCATATTTAGTATGTGTCGAGCGGTAATTTAAGCCGGAGTCCTCTTAAAAAGTAGCTTTCATGAGATGTTTTTTGCCATTTGTTTACTCGACCCAGCTGAGCATGTAACTTACGTCCGTAATCATGAATAAAATAACCGCATAATTTCATACCGTAGTTACCAACCTACGGTAGAGTCCCTGTATTGTGAACTCTGAAGGAACTAAACCGGTTCGACTTATCGAGATTGGTGTTAATTTCAATCATCCAGTTCATAATTAATTACATTATTGTGCAAAAGTAATGCAAACACCTGTCGACGAAATTCGACGTAATCCTTAGCTTTTCGACGAATTCTCGTCCGAAACGAAACTTCGACGACATTTCCAACCGGGCAACGTTGAGACATGATAGCCGTGTCTTTTTTGGACCGTCATTTTGTCGTCAAAATACTAGTTTGTGGAATTTGCCATTAAAAATTATGTGCACTATGCCTCTTTCGGATGGGATATAACCTTTTTTATAATAAATGTTGCTCTCAGGTCATCATTTGGGAGATCAAAGGATTTTGTTTAATCTTATTTTAAATATTATATGAATTTTTGCCTTAAAAGTTGTATAAATTACCTGATCCTGGAACATTGATTTTCAACATAAGCTTTATTTAGTTCTTGTTCATTGCTCTTGTTCAGATTCGTCTTATACAGTGCGCAAGCGCAATGGGTCTAACAAGTATAAAAGTATACTCTTTTTTATATTCCACATCCACTGTAGCAATGTCTATGTGTCTAAGCGGTTTAAGACCCTAAGCGAACTTTCCTGGTGAACGTTTGGTAGTGAAAATGTCAAATTTGTAAACGTTATCAAGGACACAACTGATCCGGTCCCGGCTGATGGAGATATCTCAGTGCTGGATCTTCTAAAGGGAATTAAGTATCTGGAATAACATGCGCTTAAATTCTGGGATTCTGAACTGATAAATTATCACGTTCACAAATGAATTGCCAAACTGTAAAATTTTGATAACAAATATTGTTAATCCTAAAAGGTGAAAATTTTCCATGACTTTCAAGTCATACAAAATATTTATAATTTGAAAAGGAAGCCAGGTAAAAAGTGTTGTTCCTGTTATGAGAGCTAGTGTCTTCGCTAATTTCACTTCTCTTTTGATATGATTCTGCTTGCGAAATGACGATTTCTGCTTCTTCCAAACAACAAAGTTTGCTACACATATAGTTATCAGAGGGATTCCAGAAATTAAAACATCATAATACAATTGATTCTCCCTCCCTATTATATCAAGCTTCCGTAACACCACTGAAGTAGTAAATATTGCCGCTATGATCCACGGTATGCTGATAGCGCAGACGTAAACACGATAGTTCAGAGTTCTGTGACGAAGAGGCCAACCGACAGCGAACATTCTTTCCATGGAAATGACCGCAAGAGTGTAGATGGAAGTTATGCCAGTGAAAACGTCAGCACCGTTGGAAATAGGGTGCCATGTATGTCGCTGTGATGCATCACTTTCTATCATAAAAAAAGGGACAGCGAAAATTCCCACCAGGAAATCGGCAACAGCTAAGCTTATGAGAAGTGAGTAAGAGCGTTTTTGGCGTCTCTGTTTGAAGAATATCCAGATGGTGAGAACATTTCCAGCAATGATCAAAGTCGTCAATACACCAAAACATATACCCCAGAAGATGTTCCATGAGTTAAAATCCATTTTGCTGGGCACTGTGTTTTTTCTTTTGACCTGCCATGAAAACAAACCTATGCCATTAAATCTGAACAGTAGAAAATTTGTGGGAGCAAAAATACGGCTTTAGCAAACGAGCATTTACTACTACATGACTTTGGTTTAGAGCCTCCTACAAATGAGCTCGCATCTATTTGGTGTTCTCTCTTTACAAAAATTATCTGATTCTTTAAGTCCCAACTAGCCAACCGAGTCGGCAAACAGTCCTGAAACACGAAACGTTACGTTGAGTCGGGTGACGGTCCCCGTAGGGCTGAAAGCGTTCAGATCAGACTGCTGTAACATGTCTCCAGCTCTGACGAAGGGCTAATGTTAGAAAAGTCAGATTTAAAAAACTTTTTACGGTGGTCAATTTACCTTATCAACTTAGTGGTTAACTGTGAATTGTCTTACTAGTACATCATGATAATGTTTACAACTCACGAATTTAAATCTTGGAGGGTGTTCGACATAAAAAAACATCGGAAGCCCTAACTTGGTTATCCAACTTGGCAAGGTTAGTGAGTGATCGTTGTTCTTTCCAATCACTTATAAGTTAAGAGCCCAGACTTTTTTTTGTAAAATTAAAACACGATGTGCTCGAAGGGTCTCTAGTTTTCATTTTTTCAATATAATTTGTTTCAGGGTGACAGTGGTAGTTTATCATGATTTTCCATTGGGCTTTTGCCCCGGAAAGTGTAGCGCACTTGGCGCCAAAAACTGACCCTATTTGTTTTGGTCGCTGTGTTCCCAACAGCAATTGATGTTTTTACACTTTTTCTTTGGGAAACACGAAAAGGAGTATGTTGAAGCTATTATCTTCAAGGTTTTTCTTGAAGTGGAGCTCATTAACTATTGGGGCCAAAATCACTCGTATATGTCCAACGCACAAACGAATTAACTGAAGTATTAAAGCGAAATAGACATTTGAGGCGGTTGAAATGTTGTGCGAGATACGGGCCAATTGGCAAATTAAAGACGATGTAAAGCGACGTAAAGTGATTGATAAAGGCAGTATAAACAGTTAGACGGTTCAAGCAGTTAAACGGTAGATCTGAATGACACAAACAAAGAAAAATTATGGAGTAAAAAGGTAACAGAATATCGATGAAAGTAATGTCCGTGAAAACAGAAGAACTCCTTCAATAGCTTTTCCACCCTCATCGCTGAATTTTTTTCAGGATAAGCTGTTGAATAATCTACTTCCGGACCAACATATGACACATAAACGGAAACAGATCCGAGACCGTGATTATCACCTTCTTTGAATCGGAAGTCCGCGCTTGGTGAAATTCCAAATTCTGCATATTCGTTTGAACGATGGCGTGTCATAATTATTATGTATCCGGCTGAAAGTCGGGTCACCTGGAAGAGCCGATTCACTCTGAATTCCATCCATCTCAAAAAGAATCCTTCTGACTTTGATGTAAATGTGAAACATCAGAACTTTCGGTGACATATTCCTTGATGGCATTAATGCGACTCGAAATTTCGTTCTATGCGGCTAATATTCGGGGCGAAAATTCGTTGCTATTGTTCATTCTTTCAAAAAGATTTGGTTGAATTTGTGGTTTGGTACTGCGAATTTCCCGCTACGATTTGAGTCTCCGCGCGACCTATGTTGTTTACAACCATGGCAACACTCAGTATATCAATTGTGTCGATGTGTTTGGGATCATTTACGTACTCTACTTTTGGTAGTTATCGTGGCCAAAGTTTCAAATTATTCTATAAAAAAAATCAAGATCTTCCACAAGCAGGGCCTCCACCCAGCTGAAATACTGAAACGCGAAGGGTTACCAGTGAGCTTTTCCAGCACTACCTCGATCGGGAAGACCTCAAAAGCTGTCTATGGAAGCGAACAGTGCGTATGTGGGAACAGTGCATAATAAGTATTGGCAAAAGATGCCAGAGTTTACGCAAAAATAGGGCAACGTGACCAAAATACTAATTTTTTAAGCCGTCCTCTATTAATATTCAGTTTTTTGTTGCGAAATGTAAAGTATTTCAAGCCCTTTGTTTCACACACTTTTATTGGCGTCTGATTGTGTAGGATCAAAACGAACAAAGAACGTTTAAATGTACGAATCAGGTATATACCATATACCATTCTTGCACAATCAACAGTCATTTCCACACATTTAGTTTGTTCAGTATAAGAAAGTTGAGCCTAGTAAGTTTAGTTAGATGTATTACGTTTTCATAAGAAGTGGGGAGACTACGTCTCGTGTTTCTCCCTACACTTCTTTCGTGCTCTAGCCGCTTCCTGCGTGCTTTATAACAGAACAGAGAACAGCCAAGGCTTCTCTATTTGTTAAATAGAAAATGAGACTTGATGAGACTTACCGGCTTAAAAAATTTCAAGAACTGATGAGTCGAGCTCTTCAGGTTTCCTTTAACAGAAGAAAAATTGATAAGGTCCGCAATCATCGACAGAAACATGAAAGTGAACCCAAGATTCCAAAGCAGCGAGGCGTGTTCATCTCGTGATGTCCATTACATTGCTTTTATTTTTAAAATTTCAAGTAATTAACAGGAAATGGTTCATACAAAGGATCGCTTTAACTCACGGAATCGCTAGCTATGCAAATGTTTTGGAACAAAAGATAATTTTGCGTCAGAAAGAGGTCAAATCTAAAAATACGAGGGTGGGTGTATAGGGAAAAAAAACGAACACAATAGGTGTGACGCTGAGCTTACACAAATAGCTGGAGCGAGACAAACAAATAAAAATGCAAAACGCATTTTGTTGCGAAATGTAATTAATTACGGAATCGCTAGCTATGCAAATTTTTTGGAACAAAAGATAATTTTGCGTCAGAAAGAGGTCAAATCTAAAGATACGAGGGTGGGTGTATAGGGATAAAAAACGAACACAATAGGTGTGACGCTGAGCTTACACAAATAGCTGGAGCGAGACAAACAAATAAAAATGCAAAAAAATCTCACTAATTCTTATTTCAACCAAATCCTGATTATTTTCTTATGAAATGAGTATGCTGGTCTACAAGAGTTTGCTTTCACTTGTCAGGTTTTTTCACTATCGCTAGCCTCGCGTGAAAATAAAACTAATTTAATTGAATCTATATTCTTCGACTGACGTCAAATGAATACGATCAACGTTTCCTAGAACGTTCGACTCTAAATTGAAAATAAATTTCACACAGTTCGTCATTTTGACAAGTTATAGAGATATTCCATAAAAATATGAGATCGAAATTGAACTTTAAACATTTCTAGGAAAGAAGAAAACTTGTTAATACAACACTTCATATATAGGACAATGGTTCACAGTTCTTTACTTTTATTTCCGCATTACCGATCATATCAAGGCCACAAACATTTATGTCTACTGTGAGGAAATGTTTCGAAAACCAACACATCATAGTCAGTATTAAACTTTAGTAATCGTTTCTGAACTATGATTCGATTTATCATGTTTTGCGTGCATCGAATGGTAATTTGTAATTCCTTTTTTACAGTAGCACTTCTAAGATGTTGTTTGTTGTTTGACCCAACAGAGCATGTAACTTACGCCCGTAATCATAAACAAAATAACCGTGTGATTTCATACTTCTACCCACTGCTCTAGTTATCAACCTTACAGTAGAATGAATCCCTGTAATTCGACCTCCCAGGGGAAACTAAACCGGCTCGAGTTAGCGGAGGTTCGAGTTATCGCGACTGGTGTTAATCAGTGTTATCCTATTGATAATTAATTACAAATCATGCACACTCTATACCATTTTCGCACAATCAACTGTCATTTTTAAAAACTTTTAAGTGTTTTAAGTTTAACTAAATGTGTTCCGTTTATACACATGTTCCCGCGCGTTCAAATCAATCGCGATTAAAGGTTGAGACGTGTTAATCAGCTATGTTCTGACACTGACGATGATCGAGATATCAGGGTAAATTTGAGCCAAGGAAAAGTAAAATTAGTTCGAGATAACTGAGTTCAAATCCAATCGACCTTGTTTGAGTTAGCCGGGGATTCGAATTGACCAGGTTTGAATTAGCAGGAATTCTGCTGTACTTAGGATGCAATGCATAATTTCTCAGCTGAGTCAAAGAAGACAGAATCTCGTATTGCAACGCAGTCATTCGCGGCGTGAGAACGTGAGCTTATTGTACTCAGAGCGAATCACCATTAATTTCACTTTTCCCGATCTATTTTTCGTTAAAAATCAGTATTTGAATCTGAAAATTGCAAAAGAACAAAATTTTAAAGAGTTTTGAGCAATAGGTGAATCCATCGATTGTAACATTCGCAGTTTGAACAGACGAGCAAATAGACTTCTGTAATGTGAATACTTTGCAAAAATCGTGTGAGCGTTCCACTCGATTTCTTGAGACAAATAAGAAGTGATGAAACTTACCGGCTTAGAAATTGAAGTTTCAAGAACTGGTGAGTGAAGCTCCTAACTTTTCATTGAGCATGAGAAAAGCGGTGAAGTTCCGCAATCTTTGGCAGAAACGCGACGGTCAACCAGATGCTATCGAATTATGCAAATGTAGCGAGGATGTGCATTACAGCGCATTACAGCGCTTCAAATAATTAAAAGGAAATGGTTCAATCGCTTTCACTCACGTGATCGCCAGCTTTGCAAATTTATGGGGAAAGAGAGAACTTGGGACTGTTTAACAGGTATTACAGGTATCAGCTTCTATCCAACATTAATCTCGTACCCACACATTCCATGGCCAAGCGGTTTCAGTTGCACGGTAGGATCTGGGCACGAGATTGAGATAAGGATAATATTTGGACACTTCTAATCTTTTTTGACTATTGAAAATTATTCTACTGCGCGAACGCCTAGTAAACATTCACATGAGTGGCATCATAATCTTTTTTGCCCGCAAAGCCTTTTTTTTCCACAACTATGTTCAAACTTTCCATCAAAAAATCTAAAAGGTGAAAAAAATATGTTAATAATCATTATCTCGAAATTATATCCCTGAATTGTACCCATCTGATAATCGAAACAGGATGGTTTACATTATTGTTCAGAGAACTTTTTTTAGGGGGGGAGGGGCCCGTCATTATTTATCGCCTACAAAGGGGAGGGGAAGGTTGGAGGATGTAAATTGTGTCACGATAAAACTTACCTGATTCCCTGCTAAGGTTCTGTAATATTCACATGATCCAATTAACTATAGTCCTCCCCCTTTATACTCTTCTAGCGACGACTGATCCCCCTCAGCACCCCCTGAAAACCATGTGATCCCCAAAACTCTTAATATCGCGATACCAGTATCCTGTCTCACCGCACTGGCTATTGTGACTGTAGTGACTGTAATGACGAAATTTATTTTTGTTGTATCAAAAAAGAGTGCAGATAGAGATCTCGGCAAAATCGAACCAGTCCGGCCCATGTAATCAGGCTTCTAGTCAGTGTATAGTCACTAATTACAAAAATTGTCGACTAATCTCAGTCTGCTAAAGCAGAACGTACGAAAGTACCTCAATATCCATTTTTTTCCTTGCCTATCTAAGATGTTCTTTACATTACATAAGCTTACTAAGCAACCAGTCACATGTTGTAGCGCGCACAATATCTGGGTGAATTAAAATTATAGACTAATTCTTCATTTTTCTAAACGGGTTGAGTTTACTTCATACTAGGTAAATAAAATATTTCAGATCTTTGAAAAAGCGACTAAAACTGGAATAAACCAATGCTGAAGAACGCACGAGCATTAAAACTAGTTGGACAAATTGATCGATAAAGTACGGTTAAAGGACACGCTGCCTTGCTACTGGTGGCGGGAAGTCAAACAAGTCTGTGGCAATAGAAGTAATGCATGGAAGGATATTAGGTTCATTTTGAGAACTCATACGGTCTGCAGCCCCTTTCTGGTACGTGGAAATTTTCCAACGACACCACGGTCTTGGAAGTTGTTCCCAAGTCTGGTGCAACAAAGATCCAAGACACACTGGATCATGTCCTTCAGTGGTTAAAAGACAACAAATTCAGGCTGAACCAGTTAAAGTGCAAGGAACTCTGGGTAGACTTTCGAAAGAAACCAAACGAGGTCACTGTATTGAGGCCAACGGCAATTCCATTGAAACCATTAAATCAGCAAAAGTACTAGGCGTTACTATAAGGGGTAACCTAAAGTGGAATGATCATGTAGATAATATTACTGTGAAAGCGTCTCAGCGAATCTATTTGCTTAAGCAAATTAAGCGCGCTGGCATCGACCGCATATCTCTAATTCACTTCAACTGCGCATGTATTCGTTCTGTCTTAGAATATACCCCTTCAAGCTTTTCATTCTAGCTTACCAGTCAACTTGTCTGACCAAATCGAGAGGGTTCAGAAGCGAGTTTAAAGGATCATTTATCTAGAGGCATCGTATAGAAAAGCGCTGGAAGATGCAAATCTGAAAACACTTTTTGATGGACGAGAAGGCTTATGCGTAAGTCCTATTCAATCAGATCAAAGAGAGTGATGGCCAGCATAAACTAGCAGACCTGCTACCTGCGCGCAATAATGCCTCTCAGTACAACCCAAGGAATAAACGAATGTTTGCTATGCCTGGTGTCAAAACCAAAAGGTTTCACAATTCCTTCATAATGCACTGTGTAGCAAAAGAGCAAAGGTAAATCTAAGAAGGATTATTATTATTAATATTTTTCATTGTTTATATTTAGAATTTATTATTATAAGATTTAGAATTTTTGTAAAATATCTTTTTAAAATTATTGTGAATTATGTATATTGCACGAGTAATTCAGCTACTAACTGCTAATTGTGATTTTAATAATAATGATGATAATAATCATGATAATAATAAAAAAATAAACCTTGAGTCTGAATTCAACTAGACCGATCTATTTGGAAGTGTGATGACTGTAAGTTGGAAATACTTTACCCGGTTTTCATAAGTTTTTAATTTTCAGCAAAGGCACAAGAGGTGGAGGGGAATGAGGGGGGGGGGGGGGCACATACTGGAGTGCATACAAACATGTCACATTATAAAGTGTTTTATGAATCATTATACTATGAAGTACACCTTCCTCTTTAGCAGAAGGAGCTCGATTTATCCCGTTAAATTCAATCAAGGAAAAGTAGAATACTTCGAGTCAACGGGGAGTTTGGAGTCAGCTGAGAGTAAATCACCAGAAAAATGGGATTATATCCGAGAGAAATCCGATCTTTTTCGTGTTAGCAGGGTTCTGCAGTAGTTATAAAGAAATGCATGTTTTCTCAAATGAGTCAAAAAGCAGAATCTTCTATGGCAACGCAGTCAGTGGCAACGAGAGAACTGGGGTCGAAACTGCTTGACTCAATTTTTCCACTCTCTTCTTTTTAAGAATTCAGTTTTTGTATTTGAAAATTGATAAAGCAGAAAAAGGATTTTGAGGAAGAAGTAAACCTTTCTTCACTAACATTTGCATTTTGAGCACACAAGCAGAAAGACTAGTGTAATAATGCAAAGTACTTAAAACTGTAATAGAACGTTGCCTAAATCATCCGAGCGTTCCATTCTTGAGACACAATGAGAACTGATAAAACTTACCGGCCTACAAGTTTCAAGAACTGATGAATCAAGTTCCTAAATTGTCTTTGAACAGAAGAAAAGTAGTTGAGTTCTGCAATCATCGACAGAAACGCAAAGGTGAACCAAATATTCCAAATCAGCCAAGCGGGTTCTTCGCGTGATGTCGATTACAATGCTCCTATTTGAGTAGAGTCATGTAATTGATCACTTTCACCCACGTGATAACAGCTATGCAAATTTATTGGAAAAAAGAAATGATTTACTTCAGCAAAAACTTCAAATCCAAAAGCGCTAACTTGGCCGCCATTTATTTGTTCTGGAAACCAATATGATAGCCTTGACGTTAGGAGAACGCCCTTCACGATCCACTACACTTTCCTTCTTGTGAGGGGTAAGGACATTTCCTCCACCCCCTCAGTTCTACAGGTATCGTATGTGAGGGTGGGTAACGAGAGATAAAAAACGGACACAAAGTGGGTGACGCTGAATGCAAACAAGCAGCTGGAGCGAGATCAAAGATTTCCAGAAAAGCCCGTGAACAACTCATTTTTTTGGGGCCGGAATTCTTTGTTCCCCTTTGCCACGATTGGTACGCGGAAAAAAAAAACTGGACCGAGGTCCGTATAGTAGAAAGCTCAACCGATTAAGAGCGCGCAATTTACCAATTAGAAACAAGAATCTATTATCTGGCCCGCTGAGATTCTTAAAAAAAATCCCTATGTAATCTTAGCAATGATAGCATGTATCAATATTGTTCACTCAGCGCGCAATGGTTCGCGAATAATAATTTTCCAGTCCAAACATATCAAGTTTCTGGTCTTTGAAAGTTGCTGCACAAAACAACAACATACCGCTCGTGAAATGAAAAGTAAACGAGCAAACGATTTTTTTTTTTTTTGAAGCTATTAGATGTGAAGAGATTTCACGACGGATATGGTCATTTAATTGCAACTAGTTCAATAGTGGAATTGGCGGCAGGTCAGAGTATGGTGTAGTTGAACGCGAGCATTCATAATGACTGCAATTGTTATAGCAATTGAATCTATGAATAAGGTTATTTTTTCCATTTGATTGAATTTTCTTAATGCTGAGTGAATCATATCTATCAAAGTTTCGAAAAGGCTACTAAAAATGATGTGAATCGACATAAATTATACTGTTATTACAAAAAGAAACTGGTTAGCAGTACTGATCGATGAAAATGGGGTCAGGAAATTACCCTATGTGTGCAATTATTAAAAAAAGTGGTCGATTAGTCGCAGTCTGCTAAACCAAAACAAAAGCACCATGAGTACTAATATATTTTTTCATGCCTTTTTAAGATGTTCTTTACATTACAATGGTGTTGTACACGACTAGTCAATATGACAAACATTATGTGGTAGCATATGAGATCTCGGTGACTCAAAATGACAGACAGTTTTGTATTTTTTCTTAACTGTCTAGGTTTACTTCATGTTTGATGAATAACATGTATGTAAGGCTAATAAAAACTGGATTAAAGCAGAGGAGTACATGAGCAACAATAACGCACTTGTCGACAAAAATGGCGGGCTTTGCTCACCGGAGTGTGCAAAGAATGAAAGTGGATTAGTGGCAGTCAGATCACCAGAACAAAGCACAATAAATTAATTTTTTATCATCAAAGATGTCTTTTATAAGACCAATACGCAGAAAACATGGCTTTCCTAATCGTGCAATTATTATTACAGCTAAGCTAATCTACTTTACCACGCACACCTTTTTTTCTATTTGTAGTTCTCGAATTTTACAAAGAATGTCAGATTTTCGACAAGAATACTACACTGACGTTAATCGATGTCAAATAGTGATAGGAAATAAATCCGGCTGAGCGCAGTCAGCAATCAGTGGATAGAAATGGCGGGCATTGCTCGCTGGAGTGCAGAGAATAACATGTTGTGGATTAGCTGTAATCTGCTAAACCAGGGGTTGGTCAATGGGTGCAATCGTTAAAAATATAGTCGA